AGGCTGTACTGGAACACTGCCTTGCTGGTCATTTATTTATATACTGACGCTTTCAGGCCGCATCGAGGAGTTTTGACAGAGACCATACAGCCTGCAAAGCCTCCTATTTACTCTCTGGCCCTTTACAGAAAACATGTGCGGAGCCCTGGCTTTGGACACTGCCTATGGGGTGACCAGTGAGTGGGGTCAGCCCCTTTCCCCTCCCTGAGAAGTCCAAGAAACAGCTTTGGGACCAGGTTTGCCCAATCCCAGCGAACCACTGTTGAAATCTCTCCCCTCTACTGGCCTCTGTGTCTTGCTCAGCAGGAAGGGTCTGACTGGTTCCTCTGCAAACCTGGCCTTTTGGAAAGCGAGTCAGCACCAGCCACTCAGCCAAGCTGCGCCTGGATCAATGTGGCTTCGCCACACCGCCCCCAATAGTGTGGTGCTTTTTTAGCTTTCCACGGCTGCTCCCTCATTTCCTCATCAGCAGAAAGCCTGGGAGGAGTCAGGGTCTCCGGCTGACAGGTGGGGAAACTGAGGCACGCACACCAGGGCACTCGGACCGGCCGAGCTGCCATGCACGCCTGCACAGTCCCTCCATGCTGGGCTGCCAGCCATGCTTTCTAGAAGCCAGGTACTCGTGCTGTGGAGTCACCACACCACCCCCAGGGCGCGGGGATGGACGGGAGACAGCCCTTCTGCAGCCGGCAGGGCCATCTGTCACTTTCTCTGGAGCGGGCAGCCAGCTACCTCCGTCCAGAAGCCCACGTGTCCAGAACCTCTGGCCTCCTGCAAAGGCTGATGGGTAAAGACCATTGTCACGTCCAGGAACGGTTGCCTTTCTATCAGAAACCCCCAGTCTGTCCATCTTCAGCCCTAATACTTGAGCCGGCTTCCCCAGTCACGTGCAGAGGCTTGCAGCCCCGCAGCTGGTCGGCGGACTCAGTGGAACTAGCCCCGTGCCTGTCGCCCATCGGAGACCTGCCATGTCGCCCAGCTGCTCAGGGCTGAGTTCCTGGCCAGGCGGCAGCCTGTCCCACCTCCCAGCCGACCGCTTTCCCCGGAACGTCACACATTCGCCCCCTGCTTGTTCTCCACCTAAAAAGGCAGGCTGCAGACGCGCGGGCCACTGCAAGCATGAGTCCACGGGCCCCACCTAACACAGCAGAGGGTGAACTGCAGGAGGCATGGGGGGCGCCAGGGGGGCCTTTCTCGGGACATTTTCACTCAAGATGGAGGGAGGCTAGACGGAGCTTCCTGACATTTAATTGTTCCCACTGTAACGAGGCATTAAAAATTGCATTACTAGCACCTGGCACTGGAATGCCTGTTACAAGCCGAACGGTCTTTATCAAGCAAGGAAGGCATTCATCAGGAAAGCTACCTCTGCCCTTCACTGGGGTCAGCGTGATCCCCGTGGCCAGGGCTTCTGGGGGAGACGTGGTCCAGGAAGGCTTCCCCGAGGAGGTGGCATTTAGGCTGAGATCTGGAGCGGGGAGAGGTGGTGGCCAGACAGGGTGGGGTGCAGTGGTGCGGGGTGCAGGGAACAGTGGAGGTGCTAGAAAGAGCGTGAGAGAATGCCTGAGCCAGGTGGGGGTCACGTCTGAAGAACAGAGCGAGAGAGATGCAGCCGGGCAGCAGGAAATCACCATCGAGGAGGACTTCCATGCACTCCTTTTCTCAATGCCCCCTTGGTCTATACCACTACCATTGCCAAGAGCCAAACATCCGCTGCATTCTACCTCCCCTCCGCACCAAGCATTTAATATTCATGCCCCCACTGCGGCCAGCAATCCTAGGAGGAAAGGCAGGAGAATCTGTGTCCATTTCACAGATGAGGAACTTGAGGCACTAGGAAGTTAGGGTCACGCACCTAGTAAAGTCACAACCAGGATTCAAAACCCAGTGCTTAGAGAAAACCTCTTCTTTTCAGCCCAGATTTTCCAGCCTTGGTCTCCCATCTGACATGGTTTCATCTCCGTGAAACACTAGGAGGTCCAGTGATGGGAGGTCTGACCGTGGAGCCTGAGGAAGGGACAGGAGGCCCAGGCAATTGTGGGGGGCAGGGTGGGGGTGGGGCTGCCTGGGTGAGGAAGAGGGGAGGTCGGGGGGTGGTCTGGCGGCTGCAGTGAGCACAGGGGTCCTGTGAGGAGTAAGAGGCCACCGGGGGATTAGAAATAAGCCTCTCGGAGGCCAGGCTTGGGAGCTGATGGGGTAGAGCACCCCGTGCCCTCCATGTGCCTCACTCTTGGTGGCTGTCAGTGGGGGGTACACAGGGCCCTCCTTTCCTTGGGAAAATGTGTCACCCTTCCAGCTGCTTTCTCCAGGAGGTGGAGGGAAGTAGGCAAGTCACAAAGGCAGGGAACATCTCTATAAGGAGCAACCCGATTCCTGGGGTTCTAGACTCTTCCTTTTCCTTGAGTGGTGCTCAGCTGAGGGGAGGGGAAGGATGGGTGTGAGTGAGAAGAGCAGGAGCCCTTTAGAAAGTCAACACTCAAACTCTATTTCCTTCCCTCTGGATAGTTCAGACCGCCCACCATGGGTAACGGTTCCCCTAATTGGATCCAGTTTCCGGCATCATACTGGCTGAAGTTTGGGTGATGTGGAGTTCGGCACAATGACAAAGCCAGCGCGTGCATCTGGGTGCGCGCACATGTGTATATTTACACACACATTACATCTCCCTCCCCTCCCACCCCCATCTCCTCATTTAGCGGGAAAGAAAAGGACCACGGGGCTGAAGCTCAAATCCCTCCTAAGCGGAGGGAAATCCGGGTGTCATGGTTTCCAGAAAGGGAATACAATCTCCGTATGGGGTGTAATTACATCTTAGCTTTCTGCAGAAGAATAGTTTATGGCTTAAATGCTATTAATTGTAAGCCGTTTTGTTCCACGGGAAGTTGTTCATTGATAACTACCCAATTAGGGTTATTTTGCAATTAGTCTATTCACAGTAAATTTATTGCAAAAGGGGAGGCTGTCGTGCAGCAAATTAAAGCAGCGCTGGGCTGGGTGTGCAATGGCTCTTAAATGCCAATCTGATTAACCAGCTCAGAGGTCCCGGGAGGGTGTGCCATCCTGGCTGACGTGGGCGAGTCTATGGGGAAAGGCCGGGCACACTCACGTTGCACAACCACGCTGGGGGGGGGGGGGGAGGTGTCTCAGCACGACCGGGAGGAGCGTGGGAGCCCCTGACCTCCGTGGGTGACACCAGCCCTCTTGTTTCCCCATCACGCTCCCTCCCCTCTCCTTGCAACGATACTGAGGATGGAGAAATACAGCCTACAGGCTGCAGGATCTCCTTGAGGTCTGACCGTTGGAGCTTAAGGGAAACCTTCTGCCTCTTGAAGAGGGGAAGGCCATGAGTATGGATGCAGGCCCTTGGGTAGATCAGCTCTTCTGTCCACTAGCCATGCACCTCTAACCAAGTACTAAACCTCTCAGCCTCAACGTCCTCATCGACGTAATGGGTTGATAAAAGACCTACCTCCTAGGGCTGGTGTGAGAATTCGATGTGTTATAAGGTGCCCACTGTGTGGTATTTATTGTTACACAGCATTGGTATCTGGCAGGGGTAAGCAACCTAGGGCCCACAGGCCAAATCCTGCCCACTGCCCGCTTTAGTCAAGTGAGTTTTACTGGAACATAACTAAGTGCACAGTGTATGTATTGTGCATGGCTCCCTTTGATGGCCCACAAAGCCTCAAATATTTGTTCTCTGGTCCTTTGAAGGAAAAGTGTGTTGACTCCCAGTATAGTATGAGTGCCCAATATTACTTTCATGGAAGGGCATTCAACTCAGGCCTCCGACACTCCTCTTTCAAGCCAGGTGCTGGTTAACAAAAGATTCTGGAAACTTCTTCCTCCACTCATTTACTCCTCTACTCCATCAGCCAAGTCCCATCAAGAATATAAATGTGAACCCCACAGACAGCTTGGCCTAGGGTTGAAACGCAAGGGAGAAATGAACCCTTCCTTTTTACATCTTTCCATTTAAAAGAGAGTATAGTCCAGATACACGTTCACCGCTGCAAACTCAAAAACTACAGATGAACAGCGAGTGAAAAGCTGAAGCTGTCTACACCCCGCGCAACAGGGAACACGTGAGGGGCTTGCTGTGCATCCTTCCACAGCACTTACACACACATGGCCACTCCCTACCTGACCCAAATCCTCAATATCTTAAAAAAAAAAAAAAAAATTTAGGCTCATGACGACAGGACCGACCTCACAGGGCGGTGGATGAGATGAGCCGATTGAATGCGCAGTGTCTGACGAGGAGCGAGCGCCTGGTAACTGTCTGATAAAACACACCACCAAGAAAGGCACACAATCCAGTCAACGGCTTGACGTCAGATGCAGAGATAAACGAGTAATACCTCACCCGAGCAAATGTCCCCTCCACCTTCAGAGGGCCCCTCCGCTGGGCTTAGAGTTCTTACCTGTCTCTGCATCGCAGAGCAAGAGATGTGACTTGTCACTGGCCGTCAGCCCACAGAAGAGTCTCCAGCACAGGGAGGAAGTGGGGAGAGACAGAGGGTGGGAAGGAGAGGAAGCAAGGAAGAATGGAAGGGAGAAAGGAATTTTCCATGGAGGAAAAATGGGAAGGTCGTTTTTTAGAGCCTCCTAAGTCAATGCAACCAATTAGAAACCTTTCAAATCATATTCAATTACAATAATATCTGTGTCGATTTTAATCCCGATATTCTGCTGAGAGAAAAAACGAACCCTATCGATACAGTCACCTCGGATTCCACACCAGCCCCGATTTCATGTATTTTATCCGTTGCCATCAAGGCAACTGGTTAAAGCTGGAACAAAAGGCCATTTGATCTTGCAAAGGTTTTCTTACACACAACTTCAGAATTCAGACAGTACCAGAGGGGAAAAAAAAATCTGTGCGTTGATCGGGGGTGGGGGGGTTTTGGAAAAATAGGGCGGTCATTCTCGGAAGGTTGAGAATGGGAGCAGAATGGGACTGGGCAGGAGGAAGAACTGGACCCGGGGCTGGCACTCACCTTCCAGGGGGCAGAATCGTGTCACCTTCTTGGGCATCAGCAGTCCGAGCTTGTGGCGACAGTAGGTTTCCCCGATCTCCTGGCGGCAGTGTTTGGACTTGGAGCGGGACAGGGCGGAGATGGCCTCTTTGCCCGAGATGTCGCACTTGGGGGGCTGGTCGTACTTGAGCTCGGGGGAGCCGCCCCCGCTTTTCCTGGTGTGGGGCTGTCTTGGGGCATCCTTCCCACGGCTACTGTTCACTGCGGCTTTCTCCCCAGGAGGCAGCGCCTCGGTGGTGCCTTTGCCTGCGAACGAATGTCCCTTCCCCTTCTCCTCCTGCTCCAGCTTCCTTTTCAAAAGCTCTTTCTGTCTACTCGGGGCCTTCTTTGCCAACTCAGGCTGGTGCTTTTGCTTTTGAGTCCTGGGTGCGAAGTTGCTGTTGTCCACATTCTCAAAGTCTTTGGGGACCGAGTTCTCATTGTTGCTGTCTGTTCGCACTTTCTCTTTCGGCCGGTGAGAAAAGTAGCCATCCTGGAGAAAACGGGAAGGAACACAGAAGAGAAACATCACTGAGTGGTCATGCTAAGTAGGTTGGCCCTTGCAGAGTGGGGCACAGAGGTTTGGAGGTCTGCGCCCCGGTTTCACGCCATACCTTTGCTTACAAGCTTAACTTCAAAGTAGAGTTTTCTCTCTGGACCTCAATTTCCTCATCTGGAAATATGAGACGTTCCAACCAGAGATTAAGGCTTTGAAAACTCTCCAAGGCTCTGTGATTCTGGATGCTTTGTTACTAACAACACCCTCCTTTTCAGTAAGTTCCCTTGATTGTCTCTGCCATTGGATTATGGACATTTTGTTGCAGTTTCCTGTTTAAATTCTAGGAGAGAGTGCTGTGGTGGTTTATTTGAGGGCTGGAAACGCCATAATAAAATTATAAGGGAAGAAAATATTCAGTGGGATATGACATACATTCCATTGCCTTTAGGACATGCTCACAGATCTATGCCCGTAAGAGAAATCAGATGGAGGGAGAGACATCCGATCTATTTTGGAGGGGAATGCATCCTTTGCATTATGATCTTTACAGTGAATCCCAGGGGGGACGCAAGCTTGTGACACTCTTGTGTTTGTCCTTTGACTCCTGATGTTTGTACCTGGAGCAGAACGGACTAAGTCACCCGGGGGGGGGGGAGGGGTCAAGGGAAAGGCCAAGAGTCATTCTGGAGACAATGCATGGTATGGACCTTTCCAGGAAGGCAGGTGGCCTCAACTCAGCTTCTCCATGCATAGGTAGGCCCTGGCCATTTTGAGCTCAGAGCAAATGCACCATTCAACTAATACCCTGCATCGTTTCCAAAACATGTTGTTGCTGCTTAGAGCCCATTACCAACGCCTTAACCTGAAAGAGTATCCACTTTTCAAAGCTAGCCCCAGAGCGGACCTCTAAAGCCACAGAGAACGCTAACTGGCTCCATAAATCTACCCTCGTTGCTATAGAAACACAACGGCCATGAGTAGCAATTTGAGGGAAGATCACCCCTTTGGTTGTCTTAAATGTGCCTGAAACAGTTCCCAGGGAAGAGGACAGTGGGACGGAACAGCAGAGGCAGGGGCGGACAGGGCAGCCGGCACGCCCCAGGGCTCGGACTCTAGCAGCTCGGACTCTAGCAGCTCGGCCAACGGTGGCCCCCGTGGCCCAAATCCTGTGCATCATCTGCTTTTGTAAATAAAGTTTTATTGAAAAACAGCCGCACCTGTTCATGTGCTGTCTGTGGCTACCTTCCTACTATGATAGCAGGAATGAGCATGGCAATATTCTCCATCTGGCCTGCCTAAATAGTTCTATTTACCCCTTTAAGAAAAAGTGTGCAGACACCAGCTCTCGAGGAGTAGGAGTTTCTTGGTTCCCATCCTCTGGGCTTGGTTTACTTGTCCCTGTCCCCAGGGCCCCCATTTGGCCCCGTAATGGTCTGGAGAAGAAACCATATCGGCTGCCTCCTTCTTGCCCTTTCTCCATCTCCCGAGCACTAAGCACCCTTTTCTCCTACGTAGAGAGGCCTTAAGAACGGAAAACTGACTCTTAAAATTCCTCACGGCCACTCTGTAAGTTGGACATTGCTCTCATGCTCATTTTGCATGTGAGGGAACAGACTATTCGCGACTTGCCCGAGGTAACCCAGCTGGTGGGTGGTGAAGCTGGGATGGGGCTGCAGACCCATAGCCTAGGTGACCAGGTCCACTACCCACTTCCAGGAAGCTACAGAGCCCCTCTGACTCCCATCCCTCTGTCCCCGTAAGCACCACCGCCTGGCTTTGTACCACAAGATCTGGCTCCCTTCCCAACAACTCCTGCCCAGCTACATGGATCTGGAAGAGCCATGTTACCTCCGTATCTCAAGTCTGGCCAGTGGCCCATCGGATGGCAAGGAGTCACACAGAAAGCGGGAAAGTAGGGCCACAAGTCACCAAGGGCTCTAGGCGGTAGGAGCTAGGAGGTAGTGGGGAAGAGAGGAGGAAAGATACTAAGAAGGGAGAGGGGAGTCAGTACTGGGTCACAGCATGGCGGCTGGTGACACACAGGGCAGATATTATAATCTGGTCTGTGAAGGGGAAACTGTCAGTTCTGACACCTGGTTCCAGGCTTTCTTACCTCCCCACACACCTTGCAAAGAATCACCCCTGGTGGGGTGCTGTTCCTGCTCCTGTCACCTAACTGAACCCCCCTGATGTTCACCTTTCCCCTTCTTTCTGTCCAGAGGCCCTTAAAGAATCCCAAACAGCTTCTCAGCTGCCTTTTCTGAGCACTAGCCACCAGCCAGGCACCATATACTAAGTGACTCCCAGGTATCACTCGCTGGATGCAATGACCCCATAAGGAGGTATTCTCCTTGCCCTTTAACAGAAAGAGAAGCCCAGGCTGGTCGCTCTAACATTCCTGAGCACACATCAGGTGCCAGGGAGCAAACTAAGCCCTGGCATGTGCTATCTCCTTCATGCTTCAAAAATAACTTGCAAGGCAGATACTACTATTCTCCCAACCACAAAAGAGGCGGGAAAGCTCGAGGATGTTCGGGAACTTGCCCCAAGTCATCTGGGAGGACGTGGTGAACTTGTACCTGTCTGATTCTAAAACTGCCTCTTCTATTTGGCTGAGAGGTAAACTGAGGAGCATTTAGCGATCCCTTCTCTACTGGGGGGGGTGCGATGGGTATCTCCCTCTTTGCTTGTATTAACCTAGGTTGAGATGGAAGCGGATATGGGGGGGCTGGTTTTCCATAAGGCTCTTGACAAATATTTTAGTTCTTTCTCATCTAGGCACGTGACAGGGCTGTATTTCCCATACCCCACAAATTAGGCACAGCCAAGCAACTTGCTGTGGTCAAGACCAGTGATCAGAACCAAGGCACAATTTGCCATATTGCCCTTTCCTCCATAGCATCCAACCACACTCCCGACGCTCAAGGTCCTGCATCCCTGAATGAGGCTAGTGTGGAGCAGAGACCAACTCCCGAGGGGCAGAAATAAACCTCTTATGCTTTCCATCACTGACATGTGGGGATCTTTGTTACTGCAGCACAGTCTAGCTCATCCTGACTGATACAGGAGCCCACCTGATCGCCTTTCTGCCTCCTAGGTGTCCTCAGACACAGGAGCCAATTTTTGGATGGTGTTTTTTCGTTTTGCTTTGTTTTTTGGCTTCTGACACAGAATGAGCTGGATGAGTACCAATGTCCAAAAATATGAATTTAAATTCCATCCCTAAGCTAGGAGTTAACATGAAGGCACAGAGTAAGAGGAAGAGTCTCTGTCCTTGCAGTCATCTGCATCCTCTCTCATCAGACACAGCCTAAGTATTATTCTTGGGTTGCTCTCTTTCCTCATTAACGGGGGATCGCAAATCTGGACCTGAGCAGAAAACCTCCCTAAACTACCGATTTCAAAAGCTCACATTCTCTACCACTTTCTGGCAGAACATCTCCAAGCAAAACCAGACACAGGAAACACTGCAATCAATGAAGCTAATCTGACCATCAGAGAGCGGCCGATTCCTCTGGTTAATCTGTGATATCAGGACCAGGCGCCACCATCAATTCTAATATAACTCTTGATTAATATGCGTCGTCTACTCAGAGAGGCCCCCACAATGGGGATGATTAGCTCAGTGTGGCCCCGTGGCCTTCCGCCCGGCCCCAGACACTCCACAGCTGCCAAGGGAAATCAAAAGATTCGAGTGTAACAGGGAAGGGAAAGATTTGTGTTCTGGAATGAAGAGTTCACAGATATTAGACAGCTTCCAGAAAAGTCAGTGAGGGGCACAGTCAGCAAGAACCACACATCTTTCAGAGGCCCAGAACCCCCTGGCTCACTGAGTCAACTCTGTTTCCTAGAGTAGTTGATGAATTCTCCCTCAGCGTGTCCCCACTCTGTTTTCTTTATTTCTTTGAGAAAGTGCGCACAAGCAGGGGAGAGGAGCAGAGGGAGAGGGAGAAGCTGACTCCCCACTGAGCAGGGAGGCTGATGTAGGGCTCAATCCCAGGACCCTGAGATCATGACCTGAGCTGAAGGCAGACGTTCAACCGACGGAGCCACCCAGACGCCCCTGTTCTTTCTTTGGTAAATTTTATTTTATTGTGGCAAGAACACTTAACATGAGATCTACCCTCCTAACAAATTTTTGGCTGCACGATGCTGTATTGCTACCTGCAGGTGAGACGTTGTACAGAACATCTCTAGAATGTATTCATCTTGTATCATTGAGACTTTATGCCACTGGATTAGCAATTCTCTACTTCCTCCTCCCTCAGCCCCTGACAACCACCGTTTTACAGAGTCTCTGAGTGGGACCAATTTAGCTGTCTCACAGAAGTGGGCTCATGCAGTATTTGCCTTTCTGTGACTCGCTTATTTCATCTTGCACACGGTCTTCCAGGTCCATTCATGCTGTTGCATATGGCACGATTTTCTTCTTTTTTTTCAAGGCTGAATAATATTCCACTTTTTGCATATACCACATTTTCTTTATCCACCCATCCCTTGATGAACATGAGATATCCCTTCACCTTCCTGGTAACTCTTCACCTGCACACCAAAGGTAATTAGGTCTCTGCTCTTCTCGTTCTGGAGAATCAAGACCCAGAATTCCCAATCCAGGTTGCCTTCCCTATGAAAACCAACCTTGGGAGGTTTCTAGGCAAATACATGCAAGATAACCATCATGTCCTCAGCACCCACGTACTCCCCCCTCCCCACTCTGGCCCTTCATATGCCTTGTGTCCTTAATCCTCTCAAATACCCAAGGAAGCAGGCAGCAATAGTCCTACTTAAGGGGAGGAAACAAGGCACAGGGAAGTTAAATGACCTGACTAAGGTCATGCTGCTAGAAATGAAGTGCCTCAAACCCCCCCACCCTTGTGCCTCAGTCACCTCATCTGGAAAATGGGAACAATGGTAATACTTAACCTCATGGGTATTTTAGTGAGGATGAATGCACGTCAGACTTCCCCAGAATGTGTCTGCCACTCAAAGCAGGA